CATTTAATGAGACTGCTAGTCTCTAAAGAAATACAGGAATAGCCCAAGCTTTGGGCTAACACTTTACCATGACTCCGTAAAATGAATTGTCTTTCTCCATACCCTAGCATGCTCATATTCAAGTGAACAGGAGTTGCTGAGAACCAAGCCTCACAGAAGGAATTACCTAAATAGAAAAATACACAACTTCATCCTTTACTTCTGCCCACAAAGTAAACTTGTGTGTGAACATAATGCTCCTAAATATTGAAGCTCTGTTCCAGATACTTAGTGAAAATATATCAGGGGAATATTGGAGAACAGAAATATCTGTTAGTGCCTGCTCTTCACAGATTTTCAGTAACACTTAAGAGCTTAATATCTTTCATGCTTTTGAAACCATTCTTAATAAAATAACTTTAGACCTTTCACAAATCTGTCACTTCCTGGGCCACCTTGGCTTAAATCAATACACTCCTGTTAACTGTTATTATGTGCTGTTCACAGGGCCTCCATCAGTACCTTGTTGAAATGGCCATTTTCAATGTGACAGGACTTTCTGAATTAATTTTCAAGTATGATATTAAGAAAGAATGTGTTAATTGTATTATAAAAATCCCTATACTGTATCACCAATTTCATTTTCTGTATTCACTGCTTGCTTTGTTCAGCCTAGAAATTCTAGCTTGCTTTGCATGATATAACAGAAATCTTGGGGGGTATTCTTAAAATAGAAATGTTAAAAAATGGATATGTATGTGCAACAGCTTCGTCTTCTAACATTTGTAGCATACGTAATAATTTTAGCATAGTTTAACATTCTTGATGTTGATGTGCCATATCAGCTGCCAACCTCTATAGTTTTATATTACATGCACATCAAGATTATGGTTTAAACTATATACTCAAGTTCTGTGTTATCTTTCCCAGCTTCCTTCCTCCTTTGTATTATCATATCTGTTTTTCTTCCACATGTACAATATAACTTGTAGTCCCCTTCAGTTCAACCACATGGCATATAGCATCTATTAAATCTCTTTTTACAATGTGTTGTGCTACTTACAGTGAATCAAGAAATTGCACAAGTAATCTTCAGCATCATTTCCTCAGTCTCTCTTTGCAATCACTTATAAATGAAAATTGATTTTCTCATACTCATGCAAGAAATCAGAACCTTCATACAATGTCAATCTATCTTGAAGCATACACAGAAGGAGTGGCCAGTACTGTATCAAATTGTCTGATTTAGCAGCTGAGGAATGAGATTTAGTTGCTAGTGAACTAGCATCTCCTGTACATCTTCCAGCTGTCAACTCTCAATGGTGTATAGGTCCTATGTCATTTATGCTAAACCTATGCAAGATGTCTTCAATACGCTTAAGTATCTGAATGAACTAAAATTGTAAATTGAGGAAACTAAATCCCATTTAGAATGTTTATCTGTTATGCTAAGAATTGTCATAGCACAGAAAGACCTAGTATTACCATTACTAATATGGATGTGATTTAACTCTTTCTGCTCCCTTGATTTCAATTTCTGTTTATTAATGTACTTAAAGAATTAATTCTTAACATGCTTGTTTCTTAGACAAGTTACAATGCTATTTCAGTATTTGGAAAGGTCTACCTTAATGTATATGGTGGTAAACAATAGTAACAACATTTAGTATCAGCCTCTTTGCAGTCACTCTTTGATGGGCCTGTAGTTTTCCCATGCAGAGACATGAATCATCCATTATAGATCTCAATTGTCTATGTCATTTTAAATCTCATGTTCTCCATTTATTTATTTATTTAGAGATTGATGAGAATCTTACCCCTATATAAAAATACTACCTTCTTCTGATGTACTAGAAAATAATAACATTTGGAATGAATTTCAAATTAAAGTTATGAATGTCTTTTGTTTCTTTGTTTATCAGGACCAACTCAACAATTTAGGCATTCCCTAAAATTTATCTTTTAAAGTGCTGTATGCACTTGAACATTTTTAGATGTCAACAATTTATTGGGTGAGTTCATACTATGACACAGTAGTCATTGAATTCCCCAAGTTACAGATGTGGCTTTATTTATATTTCATAATTCTGGTTTCAAGGTATAGAAAAAATAGAAACAACCAATGCAGGTTTTGTTGGATTTTTTTTTTTACTGAAAACAAAATTTATTCCACAAAACCATGAAACAGATTATTGGAAAATTACTATTGTTGCCTGGGGTAGAATCAGCTTTCGTTTACTTACTCAAAGTGACAGTTCAGACCTCAAACGGATCAAGATGTAGCTCATTTTACAGTGGACTAACTGGTTTTAAATATAGATTAACCCGTACCACAAAGAAAATTTTCAGTTCCTAAGAATTAATCAGTAAACCAGTTTTACCTCACTGAATCTAAATCTGTCCTGTTCCTAAGCTAGCATAGTAGGAGGGGATTGGGCACTAGAAGAAACCTCCCAATACAAATATGAGTTCAGAAAAAGGAATCTTGAAAGAAAAGATATCTCTAGAAATCTTATCTATCTGAAAAATTAGTTTATTTATTTGTACAGGAATTACAATAACTTTAAAGTAGCTGCAAAAATAAGCATTCATATTTTCTCTATAAAGCAAAATGTAACATGAGACTATTACAATTCCCCACTAAAATCTGAAAATATTCTCCCATGGAGTTATTTGAAATGTTAAAAAAATATTATTTCAATTTAAATATTTTACTCCAAGTTATTCTTGGAATAAACTGTGGTCACTTTTCAGGCAGCATGAATCACTGAGCATCAGTAGAACTAGTATTTAGCATTCACAACAGAGGAAAGTACCTAATGTCTTTACAGTGGTTCTTCACGTTTCTGCCACTTCTTCTCAACATGAAGTCTACAAAAACCCCAAAACCTTTGCTAGAATGTTGGATTTAGGACTTGAAGATCATTTTTTTGGATAAAAAAAGAGTATTTTGATAAGGATGGTGGAGAATAGAATGGGTGAGTCTCAGTAGGCTGGCACAGCTTTCAAAGACTGTTCTAGTTGAAGCAGCACTAATGCACAAGAGAACTTGCACATTATGAAGGAATAGCATGGCCCCACTTTATTTAGGTTCTTCAGCTTCATGAGGATTTTCTTTCTATTTAGATTCATCAGTGCCTGAAGGACTTAAGACATGGGACCCTGAAGACCATCCCAACACTCCACTTGAAAGCTAATCTTGAAGAAGATATTTTGAAGAGAGAGAGAGATACTCTGCAGAAGAGTGTAATGTTTTAGGCTTTCCCTACTTGTTATATAAATATAAAATGTAGAACAGACAAACATTTTAATATATAAATGGTATTTCAGGCTCGCTTCTAATTACAAGGCAGTAATCTCAGAAAACTTTATCCAAATAGCAATTTCAGGACCACCCTACTGAGATGTGAATTAGTTTTAGAGGACTTAGTGATGCATAATACTTGATGAAGCAATGGTCTCAGAGCTCAGGAAGCTTTAACTGACTGACAGTAGCAGTTAAGAATATAGATGGTTCTTAGTGACAATAAGGATCGCAATTTTCTTAAACCAGTTTCTAGAACTCCAAGAAGAAATTTAGAGTAAGCTTGGCTGAGGATGACCTACAAGAGAATCAGGCTGAGTTAATGATACCACATAAGTGTATTTGTAAGAACCCTTTCTGCAGCTGCTGCTAAGATCTCTTACAAGGCAATGGCACACATGCCATCATGAAGAGAGACACAGAAAAAGATATGACAGAAAAGACATTGGGATTCAAAACTCTGTATGTATATGGACTTTGAAGCAAAGATGCACCTGGTACCATAGCTTAAATATAGGCAAGGATTCTGATGCCCCAACAGTCTTGGCTATGAATGACGGAAAATTCAAGATCGCAGTTTCCTGAATGTTTCTAAAAGCTATTTTTTGGTTTGAGATGAGGGGATACACTGGCCTTCTGAAAAATACCCTCTGTAGTCATGGTCTGTATGTAGTGTTCCTGTTACAATTAGAAGTGTGAGGGAACTTGATAGATGAACTGCTGACAAATACATTTAATGTATCTTTTCCATAAGTTGACCAAGAAAGAGGAAAACTTAATTAGGCACAGCACACATGCCCACATCATTCCAGTGCTCTAATTTGGTGCTGCCTGAAAGTTTTTTTTGGTTGGGATTGTGTCTTGGAATGACACAGAGATAGAAGAGGCGAGACATCAAAACACTTCCAAAACCAGCTTAACCAAATAAAATCAGCTGACCTGCGGAGATGTGAAATGCACATTTAGAAACACTCAAGAGCTGGAATGTAGGTGAGGCTAAGTAAAGGAATGCCAGAGTTATGTGAATATCTAGCAACAGCACGAATATCACCAATAAGGACATTTATAAATAACAGAATTTTTATTTTAAGCTACTCTGAATTTCTAAACCTCTTAAAATACTAACTCAGGACTCCCAAATTCACTAAGAAAGGTAGCTAAAGATCACTGATCTTATTTTTACTGCTGGGAAAACTGAGGCAGAGAGGTTCAGTGACTTACCCAAGGCCACAGAGGGAGTCACTGTCAGAGCCGGGATTAGAGCTCAGCAGTTTCTGGCTCCCAGTCCCAAGCTCAGACCATTAGACCATGGCCTCAGGACATTTCCAGCTGGTCTTCAGTCTAAAAAAAAGTAAATTCTCAGGTATGTTACAAATATGTAACATATATATATTATTTTTTTTTACCTCAAATGTAATGTTAAGAATGAGTACACATTGCTTTTAAGTAAGTGAAGAAAAGCAACCCAATACATTTTGAGTTACCTTTATTATACATACGTGTATGATAAAGCTCTGCAGGAAAATCTTTATTTAAATTGCAGCCAATACAAACAATTATTGCATTTTTCAGGGTAAGGAACAAACTGCCTTTCCAACCCAGCCAGCATGTCATTTATATTAATGGTGAGGAATGCTAAGTTGCTCTGTGTGTAAGTAAACTCTATTAAGAAAGTCATGTCCCTTGGTGAAGCTCGATCCTTAGTAAATTTTACTAGCTAAGCACTGAGCTCCATGTCAGAGTAATTACACCTTTTATCCACTGTGAGCTCTCTCTCAGCTTCTTCATACTCCTTAATTTCCCACTTCAGCTAATTTAGCAGTAAAATCACAAAGGTTTTAAAAGGTTAGCTGCTGAGGAAGTGGCGCATGAATGTTCTGTTAAGCTCCATGCATTGAAATCACAGCATGTAGAAGAAGGAATTAATTAACTAACAATTAGGTAGTGATGGATCATTGACAACATACATACACTTTGGTGCTAAAATTAATCTCCCTTCTAAATCCAATATATTGTACATCTTCTCATCTATATGCTGGCAAGTTTTATACCTGAAATGCAAAATGGACTGGCCCTTCAGAAATATCTTATAAAAGAGGCATTTCTACTGGCACGGTGGAAACCATATACTATTTTAAAAAATCATCTAGCTTAATCTTTTGAAAAGAATTGAAAGAATAATGAGAATAGTAATAGGAAAAGAAATGTTTAAGGTAAGTGGTTTTAAAGTGACAGTAAGGACATTTGTTATATGAAAGTATTTAGTATGTTGAAAGTGCTAACAATTGTGTAGTATTCTCTTGCTGTCTTCTTTTACAAGTTACCATAGTGTTTCCTTGTATTGACAGTCAGCTGCTTAATACATAGATTGGCAGTTAGCCCAGTCAATCCTCAATTCTAAAAGCCTCTTAGCAGATGAAAAATCTTTAGTTCATTCACACCTTGTAGAAAGGATGACAGGGCAGAAGTGACATCCAGATCCATTTAGAGTATACTTTGAGTCTGTTTTTCCTCTGCCTTGCACCTTGTGTAGTCATTTGCAGCTGTGCAAAGCGAACACAAAATGGACATAAACCACTGCTACCCATGTGAAAAGAGTTCTGATTTGGTTGCATTATTTCCAGAGGTGATCACAAAAAGTGCCAGGCAGTGAAAATTCAGGCTCTGCATAGCAAGTCTAAACAATTTTGACACAAAGCATATAGTAGCAGGACTACTTTCCAAACAATTTACAGAAATTGCCCCTTTGCTTTGAAGCAGTGGGTATTTTCATTTGTTTTTTGCTTGGTATTTTAATAGAAAAAAATACTAGATACTAACTCACATGCAGAAAATGAATCCTATCTCTTCCTTTTTTTTTGGTAGAAACATATTTAACTGAAGTATATTCTCACATAAAAAGGAACTCATGTCCTATATAAAATCTCGACCAGTCCTATCTTTCCTTATGCTATTCCTAAGCCAAATATTTGAAAAGTTTCACTTCTACACAGCATCTTCGAATTAATGCAAAACCTGGTATTATCACAACAGCTGATCTCAGTCCATCAGAGTTCAATACTGTTCTGGCTTTAGTATGGGTAGCAAAATTATCGTCTCCACATTTATCAAACACTAATATCTCAGCTATATGAACTACCACCACTATGATAATGTAAGACCTACTGCCAAGTATCTGCAAGATACAAACTAAAATTAACAGGAAAGGCCTGTAAATACTATATTTAAAAATGTATGTAAACAAAATGGATGGTTAAAAAATTAAGGACCTAATGTGGCTGTCACAGGAGATGTGGTCAAAACTTATTTCTACTTAATAACAGACATTTAGTGTACAATAACTAATTCAATATGTTTGGACATCTCTTTC